TTTTTGGTTGGCGAAAGTTACTTGTCCTTCCTTTTCGTCTTCTCTCTCTCTCTCTCTCTCTCTCTCTCTTTTCCCAGCTTTTGAGTGTGAACAGTACTTGATGGGTATCAGAGGTAGGCGCATGATCTTTTTTGCAAGCAGAAACTGTCGAACAGAGCCATAAGTTGTGGAATTGATGGGTTTTAGTGGTTGATGATGATGAACTCATTCTGGGAAGATGTCAGTACTTGAAATGTAGCAGGTGGTGGTGGTAGGCAAGTTGGCACCAGTGAGGCCTGCAAATGTGAAACTTGCTTCTTTTCTCTTCAATGGCAACAATGTGTCTCAAAGAAGTGGATGATGAAGCTTTGAAGCTTTAGGTGGAGGTCGGAGAGTAGTTCATGGCAACTTCGTTCTACATCGGTTAACTTGGTCTGATATTTTTCATGGATATTATCTTCAAAATAAGTTTTTTTATTTATTTATTTAAAGATTGACTTATAAGAATCGTATTGATGTATTACTATTAACTTTAATCTAAATATTTTAAATATAACTCAAAATTAATAGTTTGATTATTCGTATTATGACAATTGATATCAAAGCCCGAAGTTTGAGTAAGAAAAAATCAAAAGATATATGATTTGATCAGTATATTATAATTAACTTTAATTTTAAATCAGTAATTTGAATTCACAAAATTAACAAGTCAGTGTCAAACATTTTTTTAATTAAAAATAAAAATAAAAATAAAGTTTGATAATGAATTTTCTAATTAATTCTATTTTAAAGATGCCAACAAGTTAGTTATTAAGGATTATGATTAATTAATATCAATAACTTGAGATCAAATTCTAATACAACTTTTGATTGGATGATTACTTAATCATTCATTCAAACTATATTCAAATGCTAACAATTTTTTTCTAAGATCAAAACCTAGGATTTTTTAATCAATTGATAACAAGCTTTTTAGATGGAATCTTGATTTAATTTTATATAAACAAAAGATATGCCAGCCATTATGATTTCCAATTATTTATATATATTCTTCCAAGGACATGAAAAACCATTTGCTGCCCCCTTTTTGAAGACAGCCAACTGAGGCAATAATTTCATTGTTTGAAGAAGGAAAAAAAAAATTAATTTTTTACTATGCTTTGGGTTTTGTGCTTTTTTCAAAAATATTAAAGAATCAAAAGAATTGTTTTTTATTTTTATTTTTTGTCAACTGGTGGCTTCATGCGCACATGTTATCACTGTTCAACAGTGATTCCATCCATGGCAGCACACAGACTCATAATCATACCACTGAATCACATTGCATCTCAACATTCTTAATATCTAATGGAATAATCATTTGCATCCAACGTATCTTTTTTCTTTATTTTTGTTTGACTTTTCAATTGTGTCAACATGTGAGTGATGGAACTTTGGTCATTGTCACATTGGGATTCTCCTTGAAAGAATATTAAACATGAAGATTAACTTACATCAATATGCAATCATGGTAGATTCCATGATTGTAATTGAGATAATGGACATATACTATTACTATAAATAATAAAATAAAAATATATTTAAAAAATGAGTATATTTAATATTGACAATAAGAAGAGATAAAAAAATATAAAAAAAAAGAGATAAAAAAATATTTGACATTGTATTCATTTTATTCTTATCCAAAGCACATATACAAACATATAATCAAAACTTTGGATATCATATCAAACATACATAAGTACATAATCAAAGCTCTGGATATTATATTAAACATAAAAAGTGAAGTGAAATCATACATAATATGGTCCATCCATTTCTGGATGACCACCAAACATAAGTCTCCAACGTTTGGGATCTTCATCTACTTACGTCTAAGTGAAGTCAAAGGGGGCTAGTAGAGCATCGCGGGCTCTAGCATAACTCCCTTTGCTATTTCTAGTAAAGATTTACATTACCCCATAAACAGCTAAGTACAAAAGGACATCGTGAACAATAAAATTGGTACATATAAGAAGCGCACATGGAATAACAAAACGTACATGTGCCTTTACGAACCAATACAATGTAAACATAATCTTTTTCAAATATATTTAAATTAAAATAAAAATAAAAATAAGAGTATACGAGGATTTTGGCATATATCGAAAGTACAAGTGGAACAATGCAACATACATGTGCCCATACGAAGCAATGCGATATAATATAAAATTTATATAATAGATTTTAAGTATGTAAATAATTTAAGAACAAGAGCATATAAGAATTTAAAGTATTAATATAAAACTTAATTAAAGAAAGAATGCTAGATGAAATCAATTTCTAGAGAGATGAAATAAGAATAGGCGAAATTGACCAAAGCTCATAGAATTTGAGAGGTATATTGAATAAATAATTTAAATTATCAATTATAATCTAATTTACTTAAAGAATTTATCATTAAAAAGATATTTTAATATACTTTTAGATAAAATAAGTTTCATAGAAATTGACTCATATTTTATAGAATCTATAGGGTCATTTGAAATAGAAGTTTGGATAGACAAATTTACTCCAAATTCTTCAAATAAACTATCAAAAGAAAGGTTTATGAGTTTATATTTAGATTAAATAAGTTTTATCTAAATTAAAAATCAGTACAGAGATTTATAGCTAAAATAATGTGGAAGGGTCAGAATCTTGAAAGTTTTTCGGATTCAAATCGTTACATCTAAACAAGAGATATATCAGATGTAATGGTAGAATAATTCAAATTTTCTATATTCGAGGCAAATGCAAAGATAGAATTGTGATAGAAAAGGATTAGAATACTTGCCTTTCAAAGCTTTTGATTCGAAGAAGGTGTAAGCCTAAATCCTTCTTCTATTTTTCCTCCGCCTCCTCTCGTGTTTCATTTTCCACACCTATCTTCTTTCTTCCTTCACCATTGCAGCTTACATAGAACGTGGAGTTGCATAGTTGCTTGCTCTCCCCTTTTTCTTCTTCCACAGCTCGTACAGCTGCCATTGTCACCATCATAGTCACAGTCGCAACCACGGTCGCAACCGTAGCCCCTTTCACTATGTTACTTCATCTCATTCTCTTCTCTCCCACAACTGCAGTCGCAACTGCCTCAGCCGCAGTACTTCTTTCCCCTCTCTTCTTTCTCTCATTCTCTTCTTCCTTCCTCTTCTTCTTTCCCATCCGCAACTGCCATAGCTGCAGCCACAGCCGTAGCTTCCTCTTCCTCCCCTCTCTTCTCCCTCTTCTTCTTCTCCTTTCCTTCTCCTCTTCTTCCCTTCGTCTCTTCCCTTATGCACCACAACTCCCTTCCTTTGTTTCCTCTATAGGAAACAGAGGTGCCGCAGCCTCCTCCTCCTTTTCCTCTTCTTCTTCTTCTTAACAGTTTAATCCGTAAAATTTTTATATTTAAAAATAGATCCTCTAATTTATAAATAGGTCCCTACATAAATTTTCGAAATGAGAGATATTACAGCCACCACCATTTGCATCGATGCTGATACAATTATCGTTTAGTAATTATGTTAGCGTCAATGCAATTGTAGAGCGATATGGGGCGAGCAATGATAAGGTCGATGACACTCCTCGTGAAGGTGGGTGACGTTGCGATGAGAGTAAACTTTATCATTGTTGAAGGTAGTCAGGCAATTATGTCGGTATTGATGCCTACAATACTAGTTGATGCCTATAATGCTAATGTTCGCCACCATCGAGGTCATACACCATCAAACATTAAAATTATCATTTTTTCCTTTTGTTTTCATATTTCTGTCGAAAAAATTAGCATCATTATGATAAATTAGATTTAGATGTTTTACTTTTGTAACTATAGAAATGCTAATATAACCTTTTAAAGTATAGGAATCGAAATGCTAAAGCTAGCTAACTATATGCGGTAATATATAATTAGATTTGGACATATATTATTACTATAAATAATAAATAATAAAATAAAATAAATATATTAATATTGATAATAAGAAGAGGTAGAAAAATAGATATTAAAAGTATAAATAGATAGAATCCATGTAGATTATTAGGTTTTAATACGAAAATACAATGAAGGTAAGGGGCTAATTATAAAAAAAGTATATTTGAGGGTGTTAAAAAGCAAAAGAAATTAGAGTCGCCGAAGCGAGATGTCGAAAATCCTGAGAAGATGGAGATACTAGTTGCGGCCATAGCCACGGGAGGGTGCGACGATTCACATGATTCCGCCCATGCCTTTAGGGCGAGCATCCTCGCCCTCGAAAGAAGAGGCTCGACCTTATCCCTCTCTAGAAATAGTAAGGATCTTCTTGCTCATTCTTGATTCTACTCTTTCTCATTCCTAAGTAATTGTAATTATTCGATGATGGATGTTTACATAAGACGCTATGATTGAGTCAGTTCAAAAAATGTCATCAAA